CCGGAGTTTTTAAAGATCTCCGTTTTCAGTGACCAAAAACGCCGTTTACGTGTGGACGAAAGGTGCAAACGCATAGAAAAATCTGCGTTTTCAAAAATACCCGGGTACGTGTGGACGTAGCCTTAGTCGCCTGCAGAAGACTGAAGACTGTTTGTGACTTTTGTAGTATTAAAGTTACAACATGTAGTCATAAGTGTTTGAGTCTATTCGCCATGTAGGGGGTTAAAAGCACATTAAACTTTCAATTTTTGAGTTCATCTTTGAAACGTAAACGTAGAAGCTTCTGGCTGCTGGCGAGACCTTCAAATGTGCAACATACTTTGTTTTCATTCTCAGTATCCAGAGAGCTGGTGATTTCATCCAGAATGAGGACCTGAGGCCGTCTGACGAGAGCCCGAGCGATGGCGATCCGCTGCCTCTCACTTTTAGCTAACTGACCTCCACCTTCACCCACCTCTGAGAAACGGACATAAAGTCACAGATTAAGTTTTAATGCAAACGCATTCATATCTTATAATACAGAATGAATCTACGATGTTCTGATGTGCCAGTGATGAAGAACTTCATGCAAAGCAGGTCTGCATGCAGCCATGAAAAACAGCCTGAGAGGAAGTTTAAACTCTGTACCTGTATCGTAGCCTTTCTCAAGCTGCATGATGAAGTCGTGGGCGTTGGCTTTCATTGCTGCATCCTTGATTTCATCCAATGAGCAGCCTTTAAGCCCGTATTCAATGTTTTGTCTGATGGTGCCAGAGAAGAGCACAGGCTCCTGGTTCACCACAGAGATCTGTGAAACACACAAGACACATTATACATGCAGAATGAGACAACCTTCTTACAGAGACAGATTATTAATATTATGATCTAAAAATCACGTGTTTTAGTATATTTGAATAAATAGACATTTTAAAAACAGACAGAAGATGGAAGCTTTCAAAAAGCATCAGGATTCATGATGAATCACCTTCTTGTGGAGGAACTGGTGATCATAGGATTTTAGTGGTTTGCCGTCCAGCAGGATTTCTCCCTGCTGAGGCTCGTAGAAACGCTCCAGCAGACTCACGCAGGTACTTTTTCCTTCTCCAGACGGACCCACCAGTGCCATCATCTGACCAGGCTTCAGCTCCAATGAAAAGTCCTGAAACACGTTATAAATGTGGTTATTCTAACAGAATAAATGGATAGGACAATCACCCACATTAACCAACCCGCCTGTAATGCATTCTCACCTGCAGCACTGTTTTGTTGGGGTTTGCAGGATAGGAGAAGTTGAGACTCTTGAAGCTGATGTGTCCTCTCAGCTGATCAGGTTGGAGTTTTCCGTCTGTGCTGACCAGAGCCTTTCGGTCCAGGTATTCAAACACTTTCCCAGCAGCCCCCACTGAGTTCAGCATGTCACCAAAGATGTAGGTGAGCGTCTGGAAGATGAAAGATGACAGTCTTTGGTAAATGGATCACTTAATAATAATAACAGAGATGCACGTATGTTCAATATTGCATATGATATAATATTTTGCAATCAAAAAATGGTGTAAAAGCTTTGAACCATTAACACTTTGTCAGTCATCTGACACTGTTCTTCTACCTGTGCTGAGGATGAGCTAAAAACCTGGTGAGGCAGCATTTAGGTTTTATGTTCTAGCAAAAAATTGTCTCCAGTTATTTTGTGATTTTGGAACTTTTGGATCTCAGAAACTTCAATTTTGATGCTGCAGGCTAATTCACCTGAAAGTTTGTAATCACAAGTCCTGAATGATAACATAACAGAAAGCATTATGGGATACCCTGATGTTGTCTCCAAGATCTGAGTGGTACATTATGAAGGAAACCAGGTTCCCTGTGGTCATCTGTCCTTCCTGGATGAAAAGCCGTCCATAGTATAACACGAAGACCTGCATGGCCAACCCTGTCAGCTGTATAGACACACACACCAATGCTGCTGAATATGGCAATACACAACAATTTGTACAAACACACCCTGTTCTCTAAAAGACACAAAAAACAAACATCTTACCCGTCGTGCAAGCAGGTAAACAGCCCTAACAGTGTCCCGGCGAGTTTTGATGGTGTGTGTGACCATCAAGTGGTCACCATAGCGGCAGATTTCATGCTTTTCTGTGTTAAAGCTTCGTACTACTCGGATTCCAGACACCACCTCATTTGCAGATTCATTTGCTAAAGCCATGGAGTCCTGCATAGCCAGGGTCAACCTCTGAGGAAAGCGTGAGAAAGAAGGAAACAAATTTACTGTAAACCTTTGTAAATCACTCACATTTCTTTTATTTTAATTAAGGTTACTTCCATGGCATCACACACTTTGACTATGTGGATTCGGTATCAGTTTATTGTCTCTTTAAACCTGCTTTTACCTGGTAGTGTGTGTCATACATGTTCTGTAAGAGGCCAGTGATGGGAGTCTCCATCAGTACCAGGAATGTGAGCTTCCATGAGAGGTTCAACATTAGAGAGATTATGCCCAGTGTCTTAAGGAAAGTCCTCAGCAGCACGTTGGCATTCAGACACACTGTTCTTCCCATCAGGTTAGTGTCTTTAGACAGCCTGGATGTGATTTCACCTGCATGGAAAATTAATAAAAGCCTTTACTGGTCATTCTGTCCTTCCTTGGCCTCGTCATTTTAATTTCTTCTTTACTTATTCTGTCATTTGTGTGCACATGACAGCCTTACCTGTCTTTATGGTCTCAAAGAATCCGATTTCCTGTTGAGTCAAAGCCCCGAACAGCTTAACTTTGATTCTGCATGTGTAGGAGCTGATGGCACAAATTAAAAGACCCCCTCTGCAGCCAGCACTGACAGAACTAATCAAACCATCAATAAATTGGAAAAAAGTCAGTTATATATTATATTTGATTCACAGAAACAGAATAAACCTGAAGAAAATACACTGTCTGCCTCTTACCCTCCCAGAGAGTAAAGGCCCATGAAGAGGAGAGCAGACAGGAAGTCATTCTCCTGGTAATTACTTCCAAGGATGTCAATGACTCTCCCAGTGTAGAAAGGGATAAACATCTCACCTGAGAAGAGATGCACAAATAAAAATCCTAAATAAAATAAACCACCATCATTTTTATCAGAATACATTTAGCTCCAAAAACAGAATAGTAGCTCTTCAGAGGATAACATCTCCCATATTGACCGTACTGTTTTAAAATATGTACAATAATAAAGTTTCCGAGTGTTTAACATTGGTAAATAATGTATCATTCATTCAATCACACAAGCTTAAGTATCTAACATTCATACTCCGATGGATACATCAGAGAGCAACATGGGGTTAGTATCTTGCCCAAGGATATTTGGCATGCAGACTGGAGCAGCCTGGGATCGAACCACCGCCCTTCTGGTTAGTGGCTGACCCGCTCTGCCACCTGAGCTACAGCCACAACGTTCGTTTCTGTGTTCAGACCCATCAGTCTTATTATCTTAGCATCACCTTAGTTAGAGCTGAAGTATCACAGTATACTTACAGATGACAGCCAGCGACAGGAACACAAGTCCTCCAAACAGCAGGGGATAGTCTGGTCTGAACAGTCGGACGACTCTCATGAAAAGCACTCTCGATTTCTGTTTCTGCTCTTTGCCTTCGGCCTCTTCGTCGCTGTCCGGGATGGTGATCTCCCAAAACAGCGCAGCAGCGAGCGAAGCTGCGCTGAACATGAGCCAGCAGCGCACATCTCCCAGCTGGCCGCACTGGCTCTCCTCTCTGTAAAGCGCGTTGGTCCCGGTCTCAAACACCGCGGGGAGCAGACTGTGAGCCGTTATAAACCGAATAAGCAGCGCTTTGGGAACCCCGAGTGTGAGCAGGCAGACGCCGATAAGAGCCAACCAGCGGAGAGCTGCAGAGAGCCAGAGACGCGTAAAGTGTCCAAAGACGCTGTGAAACACCGCAAATCCTGACGCGTAAAACAACAGAAGGTCGACAGAAAGTGATAAAGTAAAAGCAACGACTTGGCGCATTGTTGTTGCTGTGATCGCTGCCATTTTTCGGCAACACTCGTCCTCAAATGACCTGCTGCGTCGCAGGACCAGAGTTTTAGGTTTATTTACTTTCAGTTTCATTTTCTCACAGGACGAGGGGTTTCCCTTAAATCCTAAATACAGAAAGCAACACCAACTGAAGCAGGACAGTGCAGAACCGCTTCTTAAAATCCCTTATATGAAGTTATTTTTTTTTTACTGCACATCCAAACTAACAACCGACATTGTCCTGGATTAAACTTGCAACTGTAACATTCAGTGTATGAAACACTGAATGTTACAAATGTTAATGTGATTAAATGTTACAGTTTATTTTCCTTAGAACATAAATCAGCCTTTGAAGATTGTTTCTTTTGAGTGAAATGAAGAAAATCTGTGATTGGTTTTTGGAGAATTGTTTCTCCCTCTCATAAAAGATGGTAACATTTCTATATTATTACTTATAATGAGGCTTAAGGAACATCCGGGGTTTCAGCCACTCCCTTATTTACAAGTGGTCAACACATGCAGATAGATTCACATATTTGATTTGGCACAGATTTATACTCCAGATGCATTCATGAGGTCAGGTTTGAATGAAGGATTTTTCGTGTGTTAACCCTGTAGAGCTATGGAATATCGGGAGCTCTGAATATTTTCCAAATATTACCAATTTATTGCATTAAAAGATTCAAATAATGAATCTTTAGTAAGTTTAAGAGGCTAAGGTTGCCCTTAATGATGAAGAGTAACAAAAGCAGCAGTGTAATGTAATTGTCTTTTGCAGAGAAATCAAACATCATCTAATGCAAAACTTATTTTTCCATTTTATTTCATTTGATGAAACAAAAATGTAATCAACTGTAAAGACGGTTTTATTAACATAAAGGTTTGTTGATATAAACTTGAAATACCTTTGGATATTAGTGAGATATGCAGCAACTTATTATTAAAGATATACCGCTCCTTGTTTCATCACAGGCTGAGTTAATTGACAGTTGTGCCAAAACTGTGAGCCACAGCTTCTGTGAGGGCAACTAATGTGTTATTGGTCAAAGAAGGTGGGTAACTGATTTCCTAGAATCACTTTTTCCTCTGTGCCGTGTTCATCGATGGTGACGATGTAGGCCACGCCGCCGCTGGAGCCATCACGGTTCATTGCCAGAGAGAGAGCTACGAGAAAGGACGACACAATATTATTTTTACAACGCAAGTTATTAACATATTTACGAGTAACATGTAACATGACATAATTCAATTCAATTTTATTTATATTTAATAGAATAGTAGAAGTAGAAGAGTAGGAGTTGTGAGCTGTCAGTACAAGAAACATCAACTGTCTGGTTTCCCCTGAGCATCAAATCATCAGAAGCCCTGTAGAAAAAAACGAAAGAAAAAATCTTACTGTTGACAACAAACTGCTGGCACTCCTGCTTGTTCATGCCTCTGCAATACTCAGCATCAACAAACCCGTAAACATACGAGCTGCCGGAGCCGCCGACTGCAAACGGTTGACGTGTCAGGAGCCCTTTCATAGTAGCAAACACCTGGAAAGGAGGGATCATATCACAAAGCAATGTCATTTATATGGATGATACCTGTAATAACATCAAGTGTGTTGGCTCATTAAGGCATTTTATTCAAAGCACCTAACAACAAGCAGCAGATGTTGCTGAACCATAAATGTATTAATGAAACTTTTCCCAGTGATCTTTTAAAGCAGGGGTGTCAAACTCCAGTCCTCGAGAGCCGGTGTCCTGAATCTCCCTGCTGCAAAAACACCTTAATAAAATGAATAGGTCATTAGCAAGACTCTATAGAACTTGAGTGCATGCTGAGGTGGCAACTCCTAACCCTACTCAAGTAAATTAAAGTGAAGTAAAGTGTTTGGAAAATGTACTTGTAAAAGTACTTTTATTGCATCATGTTCATTCAGTTATGAGCTGCTCTAACATGAATCAAATGGCTGACTTTGTAACTCAACATGCACTCAAGTTCTATAGAGTCTTGCTAATGACCTACTAATTTTATTCAGGTGTGTTGCAGCAGGGAAACATGGAAAAGTTTCAGGACAGCGGCCCTGGAGGACTGGAGTTTGACACCTGTATTTTAAAGGCTCTATTTGTTCCTTTCAAACTGTAACCACCAACATGTGATTACTGACCTGCCCTCCATTTCTTCTGTCCCAGCCGGCAACAATCAGATGTGCTGACAGCTCCTCTCTGTATTTGTATGAGATGTTCCTCACCAGAGTGGCAGCTGAGCGAACCTGAGGGTCCTCACCAACCTCGATACTGACAGAAGAAGACATAATAATACACACTTTATGAAAATACATGAGAAAGCAAACTGAACATTACATTCACGAGACAGAAGACTATCAAAATAAAACAGGAAATAAAGCACACTGAGACCAGACTTAGACACGTGGACTTCACACAGACCCTGGAGATAAAGAGACAGACTAACCACGATATGATAATAGGAATAGCAACTGGTAAAAACAGAGATTAGAACTAAAAACACAGAAACTTGGCAAGACAAGAAAACCAGACAGTAACGGACACAGAACACAGCGAGCCGGACAGACATGGGGACACAACTGGGGGCCCAGAAGGTAAACAAACATGGCGACACAGTTGACACAGTGAGACAGGACAGGACACGAAAAAGGATATTAGCATAAAAAACCAAAAACTCAAAATACCCAGAGGCACTAAGAAATACTGAACTCAAGACTACTACAGAGTAGTAATACAGAACTAGAACCTGAACATCTCTTAATTCCATGAGACTGAATCACAAGTTGAAAACAAAAATACTGGTCAAAGACTCAGGGCGATGACAGAACTCTGTTGGTCCAAAGCTGGAAATCCTATGTACAATATTATAAGGAAGTACAATTTCTAAATAATAATTAGATAATTACCAAATCTTAGTTCTAAATGTTTCAGTGTACGGTCTCACATGTTTCACAAGTGTCTGCATGTATTTAGATGCACTGAATGGAGCCTGACATTATTACTTCCTCACTTCAATTGTGTGATGTTTTTATGTACTCTATTGTGAATAACATAGTGGTTTATCAGACTTGTGAATCATTCATAATGTTTTTTTATTTAGATTTTACACAGCATCCCAACATTCTGGGTTACGGTTAGGACTGTACGCAAACAAGCTTAATCAGACTTTAAGCTTTTTTCTGTTTTACAATCTTACCATTAAATTATAACCTTACTTATGAAAGGATCACAGTGTATCAGCCTTTTTTTCAGTACTTTGTGCATTTACCTGTGCACATCCAGCTGATAGTTGACTATCTCAGCGATGGTCTGAGCGTCTGCTGCAGATCCTGACAGAGCACAGTAGATCTTATCATGGAGGGGAGACAGTTTGTTCATCACCCTGTTCACCACCGTCTCTCTGCGTGGAGGATGAAGGGAGAGATTCACATTGAAGGGTGAATATAGGAGGAAGAAGGAACTGTTATCCAGGCAGAAACGGTCACACGGCGAACGCGCACGTTTGCGCGGGCACGATCTTAGAGACTTACCCAGCAGACACTCGGGAATCAGACCCCAACACGACCCCACCATCATACTCTATGCCAATAATGGTTGTCTGCGAATAAAACAGGAAAAAAACAATATTCAGAATTACTTCCGCTTAATGCGCAGCTGTAATTTTCGCATTTAGCCCACGAAATAAGAAAGAGCGCAGCACTGCGCACATCAACAGTCCACCAAATCTATAAAAGACATAAAATTTTATACTTACTCCTGTTTTCACCTCCTCTGACAACCATTCTGGTGCTGCTTCTTCCAACATGCTGATGCAGAGATAACTACACACCGACAGCAGTCTGACTCCTCGCGTAAACCGAAGCGTTTGGTCGAGCAGCTCCGGTTTTATTTCACTTTTTTACGTTTTAGAAAGTCTTCGTTTATGCTTCAACTTCTATTTTTGCTACTCTTCTTTTGCTTTGATTTACCAAACGATTTCTACAGTCGGGTTTTAGACGGACGCCATGTTTTCCCTGATAAAATCGAAATCGAAAGTTAGGCTTGTTCACCCTCAGCACTGAGCTGCACCAGTAACAGCCTGTGTTTCAGTCAGCTGAGTTCATTGTGCTGCAGCAGTTTAGTAGGTCAACACTGAGAAAGTATAAGAGCTGAACAGGGCAGCCAAATAGGCGCATTTATACTTAAACTGTGTTCCACTCACTGTCGCTTTATGTTGTATTGTATTTACTCCCTTTACCTCCCACATCCTGCAATGATTTGCTGCGTGAATCCTCTAATCTTCTCTCATCTGGTGATATTAAATTTATAAATAATTTTGGTAGGTGACTTTAATTTACACATTAATGATCCCTCTAACTGCACTGCCACAGAATTCCTTAACATTCTTTAATTCAGTGCAGTGTTACTGAGCCCACACATAACCATGGCCACACTTCTATCAGTGGATAAGGTTTTCACGCTTGGTTTATCTATAATATTTGCATACGTTCACAAATGTGTCATTTTTGACAAATTTGTTTAGTTTTATATCTTTAATGAGCACTGGGCAGCTAGACTTTCTGCTCTCCTTTCTATTATGACTGTATCCACAACTATTTTTTCAGATATCGGTGACTTAGTTCGTTGGTTTAATAGTGTTTGTTCATCAGTTCTGGATAGGATAGCACAGTTAAAAATCAGATTAGCCTCAGTCATCAGTTCTTCCCCTTGGATCAGTGATCACATCAGTCTCCACAGAAGACAGAATGAATGAATCTCCACGTTCACGTTTCTTTAATGATGAAATCAACAGTATCAGGTTGTAGTTCAAGTCTGTATCCTGTCAACTGGCCCGAGTTTGTCACCCAGGTCTGTTGTCTAAGTTTAAACTGATTTCTACAACAAATTTTTTATATATATATTCTCACACATAAGTTTTTCTTGCTGTCCAGTAGACATCAACTGTCCTAAATTCATTGAAAAGGTTTGACCTGTCATCTTCCTGTGCCTTCTCTTTGTTATAAAGTAACAATGCTTATCTGGCTGCTTTCCAGCCAGCATAAATAGCCAACATCTTTCCTCCTTAGATCACAAAGTTTTAGATAATTGCAGGTCAATCACCAAACTCATGTTTAAAATCTCAGAGCAAGTTGTTGCTCATTGGCTCCTTCAGCTCACTGAAGGAAACAACCTCTTTGATAAATTCCAATCTGTTTACAGACAAAACAACAGCACTGAAACAGTTTTATGGAAAATTACTGTTATTCTAACGCGCTCAGATGAGGGTGAACATTAGATTTTAGACCTGATCAACTATCTGCAGCCTTTGATAGTGTTGCTGATGCTACTTTTATCAACAGATAATTTATCAAATGGATAATTTAGAAATCATATAAATCGATGTATGTTGTCTTCTGCACCTCTCGTATGTTGAGTCCCCCCAGGGAGGTCAATCCCTGGACCTGTTCTGTTGATTTGATTATGTGTATTTGTTA